GCAGCTCAGAGAGACCCTCTTTCTAAATAAAACATTAAAAAAGGCTGAAAATGTGGCTTAGTAGTAAAGCATCCCTGGGTCCAATCCCTGGTACCAAAATTAATTAATTAAAAAATTAAAAGGACTCAGGATTTAGCTCAGTGGTAAGGAGCCCCTGGATTTAATTCCCAGTACCACAGATAATAAAAAACAATTGGGCCAGGTGTGGTGGCACGTGCTTGTAATCACAGAAACTCAGGAGACTAAGGTGAAAGGACAGCAAATTTGAGGCCAGCCTCAGCAACTTAGCGAGGCCCTGTGTAATTTAGCACAGCCTTGTCTCAAAAAGGACTAGGGATGTGGCTCAGGGACTAAGCACTCCTGAGCTCAATCTCCAGTACAAATAAATAAATAAATAGGATTATTGGGTGAGGCAATGGAAAAATAGGCTATCTCATATATTACTGCTTGGAATAAAACCTTTTCAGCCCCTACTGAAGGCAAGTGGGTAATATCTAGCAAAATTATATTTTTGCCCATTGGACCAATAAATGATTCTCCCTCTGGTAATACTATAGACATACTTAGAAATTCATAAAACAATGTCAACTCAATGTATTCACCACATTTTGTAAAAGCAAAAGGTTGTGAATAACCCCAAAAGTCCTTTTGTTTAAAAAAAAAAAAAAGCCAGCTAATTAAATGTAATAATATATGACTGTAAGAAAGAAGGACAATAATCTACATTTATAGTTGCTTGTATTTGCATTAAAAACTAATTCTGAGCTGAGTATAGCAGCCTACATCAGTAATCTCAGCTAGTCAGAAGGGTGAAAGATCTCAAGTTCAAGCACAGCCAGGGAAATACAGCAAGACCACCATGGTTTCGAGGAGGGAGGGGGAAGGAAAAACAAAAACTTTAGGATGGCACACAGGAAAATAAAACTATTGTTGGGGAGTAGAAAACACATGAATTTGAAATGAGATAGAAGGGAGACTTTTCCATCACTTTAGGATTTTGATTTGTGTGAATGTAGTATTTATTTAAAAAGTAAGCAAAGCCAGGTGCAATGATGCATACTGTAATCCCAGCAGTTTGGGAGACTAAAGCAGGAAGATGGCGTTCAAGGCCAGCCTCAGCAATTTAGTGAGGCTCTAAGCAACTTAGCAAGACCCTGTCTCAAAATAAAACATAAAAAAAATGGCTGGGGATGTGGTTCAGTGGTTGAACACTCCTGGGTTCAGTCCCTAGTATCAAAAAAATAAAATTAAATGTAAGTAAATTTAAATACTAAAATGTGGAGGAAAAAAATCAGTTTCACTTTTCCCGAATCTCTATAAAATAATTGTTAAAACAACTGTATCTTTGATTTTGAAGAACAAGATAGGGCTGGGATTGTGGCTTAGCAGTAGAGCGCTCGCCTAGTATGTGTGAGGCCCTGGGTTCAATCCTTAGCACCACATAAAAATAAATAAATAAAATAAAAGTATTGTGTCCAACTACTTCTAAAAAAAAAAAATATTTAGGGCTGGGAATGTGGCTCAAGCGGTTATATGCTCGCCTGGCATGCGCGGGGCGCTGGGTTCGATCCTCAGCACCACATAAAATAAAATAAAGATGTTGTGTCCACCGAAAACTGAAAAAAAATAAATAATTCTCTCTTCTCTCTCTCAAAAAATAAATAAATAAATATTTTTAAAAATTTAAAAAAAAAGAAAAAGAAGATAAATTAATTTTTTTTCCTATTTCGAGTATCAGGGGCATTTCTTGCTACATAAGGAATGCTTTTCATTCAAGTTTAGCAACAACCAGTGTTCCCCCTTTTCTGCTGTCCCTATTGTTGACTCATTATATTTGCAACTGACAGATCTCCAGAAATATCCAGCCTAATACTATTTCATTCAAAAATGTGCCAAAGCCACAGGAGTCCACAGGCAGCCTCTTCCCTAGAAACTGAAATGCCCTTGCCCATAGCCCACCTCTTTGCAACATGACCCAATCTGTGGACCCTGGCATTGCCTCTGGCTCTGGTGACCAGTGATTATATCTCAAGAGGCCATATAACTTTCCTCCCCGGGAAGAATTTTGCAAGGCAGACTAATCTTTTTATCAATTGTAACTTCTTACCACATAGCGCTAAAGCAAGATTTGTTCCTGACACTCCAAATAGAAAGAAATACATTATGTTCTTTCTAGCTATAGGATTGGTGGTTCGATCCTGTAATCCCAGCAACTCAGGAAGCTAAGACAGGGGGATCTCAAGTTTAAGGCCAGCCTCAACAACTTATCAAGGTCTTGTCTCAATCTAGTACCTTATAAGTCAGGGTAAGGACTGTGGGTTAAGTTGAACAGACAACTATGAAAAGTTCTGAGGTCCCTTTTGGAAGAGGAGCCATGTAATTTACATTTTTAAAAACAAATTCAGTTGCTATAGAACATACTGAGATGAACCAAAGGAAATTATCAAGCCAGGCATGGTAAACAACTCCTGTCATCTCAGCAATTTGGGAGGCTGAGTCGGGATGGCAAGTTCAAGGCCAGCCTGAGCAACTTAGCAAGATCCTGTCTTCAAATTGGGGGGGGGGGGGGGGGAAGGCTGGAAATGTAGCTCTGTGTTAGATTTCCCCTGGGTTCAATTCTCAATACCCAAAACAACAAAACAAACAAAAAACCCATTATAAAAAACCCGTGACAAATAGTATAGAACTAGAGATGGTAGTTGTAGGAAGGACTCAAATTCTGGTTGTCAGCCTAGGTGTCTGTCAGTGGATGAACAGATAAAGAAAATGTGGTATATAAGTGGGACACGGTGGTGCATGTCTATAATACCAGTGAGTCCTGAGGCTGAGGCAGGAGGATTGCAAGTTCAAAGCCAACCTCAGCAACTTAGTGAGACCCTGTCTCTAAATAAAAAATATAAAGAGCTGGGGATGTAGCTCAGTAGTTAAGCACCCCTGGTTTTAATCCCTGGTACCAAAAAGGGAAAATAAAGAAAATGTGATATACAAACACAACAGCTTTATCCAGCCATAAAGAGAATGATATTGTTATTTGCAGGAACATGGATGGAACTTGAGTACATTATTTATGTTGAATGAAATAAGCCAAATTCAGAAGGTCAAAGTTCATATGTTTTCTCTCATGTGGAAGCTAGAAAGGAAAAAGTAGAAGGTAGGGGGAACCTCATGAAAATTGAGGAGCAATCAATAAAGGAAACAGGGAGGGGGAGGACAGGAAGAAGAGGAGAAAATTAGGGAATAATATTAGCCACATTATATTGTTATAGTGTGTGCATGTATGAATATGTAAACAGATCCACATTATGTAAAACTATAATGCACCAATAAAAAATATGGAAATAATCTGGTTTTGCTAGGTGCGATGGCACATGCCTGTAACCCCAGCTACTTGGGAGGATGAGGCAGGAGAATAGCAGTTTCAAGGCCAGCCTCAGCAACTTAGTGAGGCTGTCTCAAAAAAATAAAAAGGGCTGGGAATGTGGCTCAAAGGGAAAGCACTCTGGGTTCAATTCCCAGTACCAAAAAGAAAATAAAAATCTGGCTGCTTTTTTTATTTTTGTTGTTTTGTTTCTTTCAATAAGGCCAAATTGACTGGACATGTTCAAGGATTTCATATTGGGAGTGAGACATCAAGATGACTAATTTTTCCTTAACCACTGGATCAAAATGGTGGTGCCTTCAGTTACTGATTGCTCCCCCCTTTACAATTATTTTTTGGTACCAGGGACTGAACCCAAAGGGGCATTGAATCACATCCCCAGCCCTTTGAGACAGTCTCGCTTAGTTGCTTAAAGCCTCACTAAATTGCTGAGGCTGTCTTTAAACCTACAATCCTCCTGCCTTAGCCTTCTGAGTCACTGGGATTACAAGAATGGGTCACCACTACTTATTTAAATTATCTGATAGATATGCTAGACTCCTCTTGCAGAAGACACTTCATCATTATACATGCTGTTATTATCCTCAGAAATTGAGGAACTTGGGGGGTTAAACAACTGACCTAAGATCATAGGGCCAGAGAACTCCCACAATTAGGATTCATTTTAGTTTGAGTATCAAACTCCTCTCTACCAAAGAAAACTATAGTGCCTATTTTGGTTGTTCTTCTACCATCCAGAGTGAGCCTCACCTATGGCAACCAAACTTTCCTTTTGGGTGCCTAGTGAAGAACTGAATTGTCCTTAAGAATTCCACTTCCTTTCTCATCTGTATAAAGCTGAATTTTTCACATGCATCAACCTAGGTAAGATTTAATAGATTGAATGAAAATGAAAACCCAGCTGTCTTCTATTAAGAAATGCACAAGGACACAAACCTGCTACACTAAAGTTGGTCCTGGCTCTTCCATAGTTTTGTTTTCCAGAGCAGTTGCTTTTTATTTTATAGGTTATATTAGCCTATCTTAGGTTGTTTTGAATGAGTCGAGGTCACTGCCTGATGATATCATACATCCTGTGGGGTTTTGTTTCAAAGCTGCATCTCAGGACTCAATTCCTAGACCCTTTTGCCACTTGTCAAGTTGAGCTTGGACCTCATTCCAATTTTTTTTTTTTTTTGGGGGGGGGTGTCCATATAGAATAAAGCTTAAGAACTACACTTCCACAGTACATTGGATATCTAAGGTGTTACTTTCAATCCATCAGCCACAATGTCAAGGAATATTATTTGAAACTTTATGAGGCTAGAGTTGTAGCTCAGTGGTAGAGCGCTTGCCTCATATGGGTGAGGTACTGGGTTCCATCCTCAGCACCACATTAAAATAAAAATAAAGATTGTTTCCATCTACAACTAAAAAACTACTTTAAAAAAAAAAAACTTTATTCCTTCATTAGCAACCTTGGAAAGAGAAATTCACATCAGAACTCAGAGCAAGGCAAATACCCCCAAATATTTGGCTATAGAAGTCATAGCAGAATTTAAACCAAGCCAGACCCACTCTAACTCTGGCCACAGCCTCATCTCTACATCCTGGACCCCATCACATGGGCTGGAAACTGGCTTCACTTCATCCAAGGGCTTAGTTCCAGAGCATTCATTGCTTCCTCGAGTTTGAGCATTCCTAAACCAGAAAGAGCAACAGTGAGATAAGAATGTGAGCGGAGGGAGGGAGGGAGAGAGGGAGGATAACAGCCCTGACTGTTCTCCAAGTCTTTCAGGATTGTCTTGTGGACTTTCTGAACCAGGCGTTCTGGGCCCGAAATTCTAGGGACCCTCCAAAAACTAGGCCCGTTTTCTCACCCTCCAAGAAGTCTAGGGCAGGGGTGGAGTCTGAATTCAGATATGTCAGATAAGAAGACCAGCCTCGCCCCTCAATCTTTAAACTCTCAAAGAACTTCCAGGAACAGCCCAGACGCACAGGGCGCTCCTGGAGATAACAGAGGTTGTTTGGGGCAGCGAAGAAGAGAGAGGGAAGAAACAAAAAGAACTGCTGGAGGAAAGGGAAAGTGAGGCTCCCCCCTCGACTTCCCCGCCTCGAGCACTTTGTCACCGCGTCTCTTACCTCGCTCCTGTCGCTGGCGGTGCCACTCAGCCAAGGACTGAAGCATCCATCTGGTCCGGAGCTTCGACAAGTAGGAGCCATAAACCACGATCTCGGTGAATTCTGAAGATTCCAGAGTCTTCAGCTCGAGCATGGCCTTGCTCACCTGCTCGATGTAAGGGATCCGACATCCGCTCGGGCCTGTTCGGGAAGGAAGTGAGCGCTCCATCCAGGCCGCGGAGACCGCGACGCCGGTGACTGGGCAGCGGGGCCAGGACTGGGTACTCACCGAACAGGGCTTCCAGCAGTCGCGTCGGGACCTGGAACACCTCTGGGTCTTTCAGGTCTTCGGGAACTTTCACCCATGGTGGGATATCTCTACGTTCCGCGACCGCACCCATCTTGAGTCCTTAAAAATTACTCTCCAGCGGAGATGAGTCCTAACAGTGCTGCCCAGAGCCGCGGCGCGGGCAGTGTCTCCAGCTGGGCGGCCCCGCCCCCGGCCTGCGGTCCAATCCCACCCTTCAGGCTCTCGGCCCGCCCCGCCCACCTTTTGGACCCGCGGATTACAAACTCCTGAGCTCCCCGACCCAGCTGTCTCCTAGTTAACTAGGGTTTCCACCAGCATTGATCGAGTCTTCTGCGCGGAAATACCGAAGGCTTGAGCTTGAGTAGGAAGAAGATGCTGTATACTTTCCCCGCAGAAAACAAAAGGTTGGACATATTCCCAGAAAGTAAGAATGCAGGCTGGACGGTGCAAGGGCTCCCCCAAAACTGCCGAATCAGTTCCTCCTGCCTCTCAGGTTCCAAATGAGGGTCGTTTCCCCTAGTTCCAAAGGAGCTTGTCCCGGTTCTTCACTGTGCAGGTGACTCAGGCGACTACCAGGAACTAAGCAATAATTCCTGCCATTTAACGAAGAGGAAATCGGGATTCGGAAATTCGTTATCTTACTTGAAGGGACCAGAAGGTGTTCGAAAATGCTCCCACAGTCCCATTCTTTGAGGCCTCTCTTACCTGATCTGGAGCTTTTTGAACTGACTCGTTTCAAAGTTCACTAGTGCCCTACCCGGCCACATAGCCCAAATGGGTGAGGGCTTCCTAAGTTAACTTGATTTACTCGTTTTTATTTTTTATTTACTTTTGGTATTCGGGATTGAACCAAGGGACATTTCACCACTGAGCTACATTACCAGTTCTTTTTATTTATATTTATTTATTTATTTATTTATTTTGAGACAAGATCTTGCCTAATAACTTAGGACATCGCTAAATTGCTTGCTGAGGCTGACCTTGAACTTCTGATCCTCCTCCTTCGTTGGAATTACAGGCAAGCTGCTACTGTGCCAGCCTCAAACAATATATTTTAAAAACGAATGAACAGGTGGTCCCAGAAGCTCATGCCTGAAATACCAGCAGTATGGTAGGGACTTGTAACACCTCTGGCAACTTTAGGGATACCCTGTCTCAAAAGATTAAAAGAGCTGGGGTTGGAGCTTAGTTCCACCCCCAGCACCAGTAGGAAAAGAAAACAAAAAAAACAGTAGGTTGTTTTACAGGCCAATGTGTAATCTATCTAGAAAAGGATCATCAACAGCTGAAACTATCAGATGAAAGTTATTGAAGAATAGATATTTAAAAGATCTGGAAGTCTTAGCCCACGAATTATGAGTTACAAAGGAGAAAATCATTCCTTTATAATACCTAGAGAGCACCACCATAACCAAAGTTATCATCAGTAATGGGGCAAATGGATGACTGGTCAATGTCATCAAAACAAAAATTCAGAAGACTGCTATTAATAGACTAAAGACAACTAAATTATCTGTATGATTCAAGTAATCTTGAATCAGAACAATGAAGAAAATTTGAACATGGACTAAATTGCAAAGTTGTGTTTTATTAATGGTTAGAAATTTCTAGAGTGTATACAACTTATACAAGATAAAGTCCTTGTTCTCAGGAGCCTCATACTGATAAAAAGTAATTTGTTATATCTGCAGTTTATTTATTTATTTGTTTGTTTGTTTATTTATTTATTTTTAGTACTGGGGATTGATGCAAGGGTGCTTTACCACTGAGGTACATCCTCAGTGTTTTATTTTTTATTTTAAGATGGGGACTCACTAAGTTGCTTAAGGTCTGGCCAAGTTGCTGGGGCTAGCCTCAAAACAGCCTCAAATCCTCCTCCTCAGCCTTCACAGTTGCTGGAATTAAAGGCAATAGCCATTGAGCCTGACATATCTGCAGTTAAATGACAAATATTAAACCCCCTTTAAAAAAAAAAAAACCTCCAGAATTTTATATGTATATAGAGAAAGCCAATGTGACAAACATTAACAGTTGGGTCTAGCTGACAATTTTTTCTATAGTCTCTCATCCTTTCTGTAATTTTATTAATAAAATTCAGAAGATGAAGTATTATAGTGTGTTGAGTAGCTAATAAAAAGAAACTTTTCCAGGGGAGAAAATG